TAGGAGAGGGTCACCAAAGCGGAAGAGCGCCTTGCTACCGAGCTCCAAATCAATGACGCTCTCCATTCCTCGGTCGATCTGCTGAAGCAAGAGAGCGCGGAGTTGAAAGTGGTGAGAAAGGAGCTGACCGAGGCTCAGAGCATGCTTGTTCAGGAGTTCGAGAAAGACCGAGAGCGGCTGAGGGACTAGGTGTCCCACTGGAAGGGTCGGGCTAAGAGCGTTCACGCAAAGGCCTGCGAGCGCTTGGAGAAGGTCATCCGAAGCTTGGATGATGCTGATCGGGCTCGTAAGCCGTACCTGGTGGTTAACCAGCTCACCGGAGTTCTCGGCTTCATCAAGCAGATCAAGAAGAAAGGCTTGTACGAGGTCCCGCCTGAGATGGTAGCTGACATCGAGGCAAAGCACGCTAAAGCTCTAGAAGATTTTCGTTTAGTCGACGCTTGCGTCCTTACTGAAGAGGACAAGTGAATGTCTCCGTTTTCGGAGGAAGACAACGCGCCGGCCTTGAACGTGACTCAGAGTGCTCATGACCCGGTGGTAGGTGAGCTGTTCGGTTCGAACGAGGACATGCTGAACGCCGATCAAGCTGCAACCTCAAAGACCGCTTAGTCTTTTTATGTTTCTTCTTTTTCTTGAACTCACTTGCCCTTTCATGGGTTACTTTATATTAATGTTTTATTTCCGAACCCTCGGTGGGTTCTTGAATTTATTATTTTTTGTTTTGCATGATTTTATAATATGTCTTTTTCGTTCTATTTGATGGTATTTAATTTTTCCTTAATTTTTTTGCAAAAATCTGTAGATCGATATTCAATCTGAACTCGACTTTATTTGATCGGTAGCGATTTGTGATAACACCTAAGTAGTAGATCGGCAACTAATAGGTGATTTTTGAACATAATCTTATCTTTCGGTAGCGAATTGCGATAATTCGGCTTACATTTTACGAGTGTTGAGAACTCGACTTACGGTGCGAATCTGAGGAGTTCGGCTTATTGTGCGAGCATTTGAGCTCGGCCTGGGGAACCCAAGTGAATCGTGTCGAACGAGTTCACTGGAAGAGTGAATTTATTCGAACTCTTGTAAGCGCACGAACGAGTTCAAGGTTTTTCTAAGTCGAACCTAAGTATGCGAGATGTGCTCGGCTTATTGTTCTTGGTGACTTAGAAATTTAACTACAGGACTGGCCCCGGCTTTCGATATGTGGTTTTACCATGGCACCATGTGGGTGCTCGCGAGACGGATCTCGGCTTTTTTAGTTTGCATTCATGTGGAATGCTATCGAACATCTGGCCAGGAAGTCGATGTAAGAACAAGGAGTTCGGTATCTTGTGATTTCCGAACTAGAACTTAGACGTTTTTGTCTTAATAAAACTTTATTGATGTTATAGCTGGACTCGGTAACGAGCTGCCTACGTACCCTTTAAAGGGATCAAGCCATTTGTAGGTCTAAGTACAAAAGTGTTTTTTGCTCCGACTAAGTAGTTCGGAGGCCTTTTTTTTTTTTTTTAGTAAACTCGTAACGAACTAGTAGTAGTATCGTTTGAGATGCATTGAGTTCCAAGATCGCGGGATCGGAGTGCCGTCTAACTTCATGAGTTGATAAACGCCGGGCTTAACAACCTTCATTACTTGGTATGGTCCTTCCCAGTTCGCGCATAGTTTACTTGCGTTTTTTTCTTCTGTGTTTTGATAGACTTTGCGAAGTACGAGATCACCATCTTCAAAGTGACGGCCTTTAACTTTCTTGTTGTAGTAGCGAGCTGCCAGTTGTTGGTAATTTTGTATCCGGAGTAATGCTCGTTCGCGATGCTCTTCGACTAAGTCGACTGTGTCGAGCATCATGTCGTTATTCGCGTCGGGTTGCTGGGTGAGCATGGGTGAGAATACTTGGGACGTTGAGTTCGGCTGGACACATAGCTTCTGTATCATATGCAAGGAGGAATGGTGACTGACCGGTTGAACGTCGTGGTGTAGTTCGGTGAGACCACAAGACACCATCGAGTTCGTCCGCTCAAGTTCCTTTAGCGGTATCGAGTCGCTTCTTCAGACCATCGATAATGGTTTTCTTCGTGGCTTCGGCCTGCCCGTTTCCTTGTGGGTATCGGGGGGGGGGGGGGTAGAGAAACTTTAGTCTGATTTTCCACTTGGCGCAAAAATCTGTGAAAATTATCGAAGTGAACTGGGTTCCGTTGTCCGTAACAATCTCGTACGGGATTCCGTGTCGGCAGATGATAAATTTCCAGACAAACTTCTTGAGATCGATTCCGTGAATCTCGGGGTATGCCTCGGCTTCGACCCATTTGGTGAAGTAGTCCGTGATGACCAGAACATATTGCTTCTGAGTCGTAGAGCGGCGAAAAGGACCGATGATGTCCATTGCCCAGCGCATGAAAGGATATGGTGCGGTCGAGGTCATCAAAAGCTCGGTAGGAAGAATGATCATCGGGCCATGACGTTGGCCCTTCTCGCAGCGTGCTGTATACTTTTCACAGTCAGAAAGCATAGTGGGCCAATAATAGCCAGCTTTTTTGATCTTGAATGCCAAAGACCGAGCTCCAGAGTGATTTCCTCCTTCTCTTTCATGAACTTTCTGCATTACTTCTATGATGTCATTGCCGTGAACACAAGTCAAGAGTACACCGGATGCGTCCCATCTGAGGAGAGTGCCCTTAATGACCATGTACCGAGCTGCACGCGCCTTGAGGCGCCGAGCTGCCCATTTATCTGCGGGGACTGTTCCATCTCCAATGTAGCCCACAATTTCTAAGGTCCAATCTTCAGGCTCATCTTCACCTTCGGCTTCAATATCGATTGGAACGTCTTCGAGATCAGAATTATTATCAGGTTGTTCGTCCATGTTGTTGTCGAGATCGGTGACGACTTCTCTGGGTTTCGTCTTCCGGGTGAGGGGTGGAGCGAGATTGGGTTGGGCTTCGTAATCACGTCGTCGTGTAATGATGTTGCAGTTCGGAGCAGGCTCGATACTCGGTCGTTCAATTGCCGCGATGGGAGAGTTCGCCGAAGATCGGGATCAGAATTAGTCGCAAGAGCGGCTAAGGCGTCGACGGTTGCATTCTCATCACGAGGCATCTTTGTAAGCTCGAAAGTTGGGAACTTCGAAGCAACATCCTTAAGGACTTTGAGGTACGCGTCCATGCGATCTTTCTTGGCCTCGTATTCGCCGTGAAATTGGTTAGCCACAAGTTGAGAGTCGCAGTAGGCGTGTACGTGTTCAGCACCGATATTTTTAGCAAGTCGTAGTGTGGCAATTAACGCTTCGTATTCGGCTTCATTGTTGAACGCCGGGAAGCCAAGGCGGAATGATTGTTCGATCACCTCCCCTTCGGGGGCTTGAGACGTATCCCGACGCCGGATCCTTTAGGGGAAGAGGAGCCATCGGCGTGGAGAATCCAAGGTTGTGTGACAGGATTAGCTTTGTCGATCTCAGGTGGGAGTTCGACCAAGAAATCCGCCAGGACTTGAGACTTTGTTGCAGTTCTTCCTCGGTATTCGATGTCATATTCCCTGAGTTCAATGGCCCATTTGGCGAGTCGTCCGGATTGACTTGGGCTATGGAGGAAAGTGCGAAGAGGTTAATCAGTTAGGACAACGATAAAGTGGGATTGGAAATGCGGGCATAATTTCCTCGCAGAAATAACCACGGCAAAGGCGAATTTCTCTAAGATCGGGTAACGATATTCTGACCCATCGAGGGATTTGCTCGTGTAGAAAATTAGCTTCTGCTCGCCATGATCTTCTCGAACAAGAACACTGCTGACCGCGAACTCCAAAATTGCGATGTAGAGATAAAGTGTCTCACCGGTTTCGGGTTTGGATAAGACTAGCGGCGTAGACAAGTATTTCTTGAGCTCGGCAAACACTTCTTCGCACTTCTCATTCCATTCAAAATGTTTGTTACCGCGAAGAAGTTGGTAGAAAGGCAAGCACTTGTCTGTCTATCTGGATATAAATCGATTAAGTGTTGTAATGCGTCTAGTGAGTCGCTGAACTTCGCGTTTGGTTGTCGGAGATGAGAGCTCGAGTATAGCTGCAATCTGTTTTGGATTAGCTTCAACGCCTTGCCGCGTGACTATGTATCCGAGGAACTCTCCAGATGTTACGCCGAACGTACACTTAGTGGGACTAAGCTTCATGCCATACTGGTCCAAAATATCGAAGCATGTGCGAAGATGACCGACGTGATCGGAAGCGACGAGTGATTTCACGAGCATATCGTCGATATAAATTTCCATAGTTCGCCCGAGCTGGCTTGCGAACATCCGGTTCACCAGTCGTTGGTACGTTGCTTTAGCATTCTTTAGACCAAAGGGCATGACCTTATAGCAGTATATGCTGCAGTCTGTGATGGACGATGTATTTTCCCGATCTTGCGGATGCATAAGAATCTGATTATATCCGGAGAATGCGTCCATAAATGAGAGTAGTTCGTTTCCGGCAGTCGCTTCCACCAGGCGGTCGATATGAGGCAAATGAAAACTATCTTTCGGACATGCCTTATTGAGATCGGTAAAATCGACGCAGATCCTCCATTTACCATTCTTTTTCTTGACGACTACAGGGTTTGCTAACCAATCAGGATATTTAACTTCGGTGATGGATCCTGCTTTGAGCAACCGTTCGACCTCATCGTTGACGGCTTGTGCCTTCTCTGGTCCGAGTTTTCGGCGTTTCTGCTTGATTGGCTTATACGTCGGATCGATGTTGAGCTCATGACACGCGATCTGTGGATCGATCCCGGGCATATCTTCTACCGACCAAGCGAAGGTTGACGAATGCTGTTTCAGAAAGTGAATGAGTGGCTCGCGGATGCTTGGGTCGAGTTCGGCGCCGATTCCGACTTGACGCTCTGGCCTTAGTTCGTCGATGCAAACTTAAACGATCGAATCCTGCTTAAGTTTTGTCTGCTGGACGACGGGCTCGTTCGTCGGTCTTAACGAACTGATGACACAAGCCTGGTTGGCCGAATGAAGTTTGCATTTGTTTATGTAACATGATCGAGCGACGGCTTGGTTTCCTCGGAGAGTGTAGACACCGTCGGGAGTCGGGAACTTTAGGCATTGATGGTACGTCGAGGCGACCGCCTTCATTGCGTGTAACCAAGGCGTACCGAGAATAGCGTTGTAGATCGCCGGTTTGTCGAGGATGAGGAACTGGATAATTTTTGCGACTCCACCGAGGTAGATCAGGATGTTGACCATGCCGACCGTTATGCAGCGTTCTCCATCGAAACCTGTAAGTGGATCGATAAAAGGCTCAATCCTATCTGATGATAAATCGAGCTGATCAGTGCTTCCTTGAAGATAATGTTGACCGAATTGCCTGTATCGACCAAAATGCGGCTAACTTTGACGTCGTTGAGAAGTAGTTCGACGACGAGGGCATCGTTATGCGGTTTATGCAACCCGATTGTGTCGGCCTCGGTAAATACCAAAAGCGTTCCCTTC